CCCCCCATTGCAGACCCCCCCCACAGTGTCCACATCTCGCCCCGGGCAGGTCTCCAAGACGGGCAAGGAGATCAAGGAGTACATCGAGTCCATGGCGGGCGAGGACCCGCTGCTCAAGGGCGTGCCCGAGGACAAGAACCCCTTCAAGGAGAAGGGGGGCTGCACCGTCAGCTGACCCCCGTGCCCCCCAGGACCGCCGGCAGGCTCCTGCTCCCCCTCCAGCGCGGCCTCGGGCAGCCCAGAGCCGAACCCTAGCGCAGTGAAAGGGCAGCACGAGGAGGAGGAGAAGGAAAAAAAAAGCATGAACAAAGCAAAAACAAAAAAAAAAAAAGGAAAAAACCCAAAAAAACCCAAAAGTCCCACCCCCGCCGCAGCTGAGCTTCCCACGAGCAAAACAAGTAAAATTTCTGCATTTTCAGCAGCCTGAGCTGCGGGGGCTCGCAGGGATCCCAGCTTTGTCCTTTATCCCAAAAAAAAAAAAAAAAAAAAAAAAAAAAAAAAGGAAAAACCCCAAAAAAACCCAAAAGTCCCACCCCCGCCGCAGCTGAGCTTCCCACGAGCAAAACAAGTAAAATTTCTGCATTTTCAGCAGCCTGAGCTGCGGGGGCTCGCAGGGATCCCAGCTTTGTCCTTTATCCCAAAAATCCCACAGGTTCTTCCCCGGGGATTCCAGCTGGGACGGGCTGGCAAGGAGGGAGATGCCAGCAGCACCTCCGCCAGCTCTGGCTTCTCCCCTCTGGAAAAGCCCCGGAAAATCAGCGTGGTGTCACCTGGAGCCACCCCTGAGCACGCAGGGCTGCGCTCCCGCTGCTCCCTTTTGGCTTTTTGGGATAAATTTATCAATTTAATCCCCTGCTTGACAGAGAAAACTGCGAGGCACAGCCAGCTCCCGAATTCAGTGGGCTGCATTTGCTGGTTGGAGCCGTTTTGCTTTTTTTTTTTGAAAACCCATCCCCAGGATTATTTTCCGTTTAATCGCGGGGCAAGCTCTCCCAAAACTGCCCCAAGACCATCGACCCCCAAAGGAGAAGCAGCAATAATTTGAATTTCTGAGTCCCTCGCGGCGCTGTCCCCAGCCCTCTCCCACTCCTCCTCTTCTCCCAGCCCGGTTAAATCCCAAGGAAATCCCTCTGGATCCCTCCTGGAGCGCTTTTCCTGCCTCAGGGATCCCTGCTCGGCCTCTCCACGGAGCAAAGGCGCTCGGGACACTCTAAAAACGGGAGGAGAAGACAAAAAAAGTGGATTTTCCTCAAGCAGGGAGTCCCCCCTGCAGCCAGAACCCTGCTCCCGGCACTCCCTGGCCCCAAAACACCCAAACCTACCCCAAAAACACCCCAAACCACCCCAAAAATCCAGCTGGTTTTGTTCTTTCTCGCAGACGCTCAATAAACCCGCCAGCACCGCCACGGCCTCTGTTTCTTGCAGCAAATACTCTCCCAAAAGTAGAATTCGTGGCTTTATTTTGGCTCTAAACGGATTTTTGTTTGCCACAGCTGCAGACCTCGGTCCCCAGAGCTGAATTGTGGCTGACATTATCCTTTTAATGCTGCAGTACTTTTTTGTTTTTCGCCACGGGAGCACAGTGGGGCTGAATCTTGCTTTTCGGTGGAGTTTTTGATGGTTCTGTTGGGGTTTTTTTGGGGCAGAATTCTATTTTTTTGATGGAGATTGTGGGGTTTTTTTGGGGAGGTGATGCTCTGTAATTAATTTGAGGCACACCCAAAGGTGCTGCTTCTTCTCCTGGCCACTGCTCCAAGACCATTTCAGGTTATTTAGGTAAAAAATAAATTAAAAATCGTATATCCTTGGCCTTGAGGCAATCGGCTCCTCTGGGGCCTGAGCTGCCCCTAATCCAGGGCGATAACCGGGCCGCGGCCGGAGGGGATTGACCCGTTAATCGACGTTAAACGGCTGGGAACGTGCGTCAGAGCGGGCTAAGCCGCCTCTGAAGGGATTCGGGGCAATGCCGGCCCCACAGCGCCTCAGGGCAGGGCCCGAGGGGGCCGCGCAGCGTCGTGAGGGCTCGAACCCGCCATGAGGGCTCCGGGCCGGCTGCTGAGGGGGAGGCGGGCCAAAGTGCGCTCGCAGCCAATAGCAACGCGGGATTGGCAGAGTGACATCCGCTCGGCCAATCAGCGTTGGAGAAGGGAGGGCGCGAACCCGCTCCCTGGGAATCGGGGAGGCGGTACAAAGGAAGGTCACAGCGAATAGAAACGCGATATTGCCAGAGTGACAGAAGATGTAGCCAATCAGCCATGGGGAACGGAGAGCGCGAAACCCCCCGGGGAATACAGATTGCGGAAGAAGGAGGCGGTGCAAAGAGCGCTCTCAGCCAGTAAAAATGAGAGCTTGTGAGAGTGACAGACGGAACAGCCAATCAGCGATGGAAAACGGAGACGGCGATTCTCCCCGGAGGGCTCCGGGCCTGGCCGGTGGAAGGCGGGGCGAAACGCGAGGCCAGCCAATAGAAACACGGGCATCTCGCCCCGGGCAGGTCTCCAAGACGGGCAAGGAGATCAAGGAGTACATCGAGTCCATGGCGGGCGAGGACCCGCTGCTCAAGGGCGTGCCCGAGGACAAGAACCCCTTCAAGGAGAAGGGGGGCTGCACCGTCAGCTGACCCCCGTGCCCCCCAGGACCGCCGGCAGGCTCCTGCTCCCCCTCCAGCGCGGCCTCGGGCAGCCCAGAGCCGAACCCTAGCGCAGTGAAAGGGCAGCACGAGGAGGAGGAGAAGGAAAAAAAAAGCATGAACAAAGCAAAAACAAAAAAAAAAAAAGGAAAAAACCCAAAAAAACCCAAAAGTCCCACCCCCGCCGCAGCTGAGCTTCCCACGAGCAAAACAAGTAAAATTTCTGCATTTTCAGCAGCCTGAGCTGCGGGGGCTCGCAGGGATCCCAGCTTTGTCCTTTATCCCAAAAATCCCACAGGTTCTTCCCCGGGGATTCCAGCTGGGACGGGCCAAAAAAACCCAAAAGTCCCACCCCCGCCGCAGCTGAGCTTCCCACGAGCAAAAAAAGCAAAATTTCTGCATTTTCAGCAGCCTGAGCTGCGGCTGCTCCCAGGGATCCCAGCTTTGTCCTTTATCCCAAAAATCCCACAGATTCTTCCCCGGGGATTCCAGCTGGGACGGGCTGGCAAGGAGGGAGATGCCAGCAGCACCTCCGCCAGCTCTGGCTTCTCCCCTCTGGAAAAGCCCCGGAAAATCAGCGTGGTGTCACCTGGAGCCACCCCTGAGCACGCAGGGCTGCGCTCCCGCTGCTCCCTTTTGGCTTTTTGGGATAAATTTATCAATTTAATCCCCTGCTTGACAGAGAAAACTGCGAGGCACAGCCAGCTCCCGAATTCAGTGGGCTGCATTTGCTGGTTGGAGCCGTTTTGCTTTTTTTTTTTGAAAACCCATCCCCAGGATTATTTTCCGTTTAATCGCGGGGCAAGCTCTCCCAAAACTGCCCCAAGACCATCGACCCCCAAAGGAGAAGCAGCAATAATTTGAATTTCTGAGTCCCTCGCGGCGCTGTCCCCAGCCCTCTCCCACTCCTCCTCTTCTCCCAGCCCGGTTAAATCCCAAGGAAATCCCTCTGGATCCCTCCTGGAGCGCTTTTCCTGCCTCAGGGATCCCTGCTCGGCCTCTCCACGGAGCAAAGGCGCTCGGGACACTCTAAAAACGGGAGGAGAAGACAAAAAAAGTGGATTTTCCTCAAGCAGGGAGTCCCCCCTGCAGCCAGAACCCTGCTCCCGGCACTCCCTGGCCCCAAAACACCCAAACCTACCCCAAAAACACCCCAAACCACCCCAAAAATCCAGCTGGTTTTGTTCTTTCTCGCAGACGCTCAATAAACCCGCCAGCACCGCCACGGCCTCTGTTTCTTGCAGCAAATACTCTCCCAAAAGTAGAATTCGTGGCTTTATTTTGGCTCTAAACGGATTTTTGTTTGCCACAGCTGCAGACCTCGGTCCCCAGAGCTGAATTGTGGCTGACATTATCCTTTTAATGCGCCAGTACTTTTTTGTTTTTCGCCACGGGAGCACAGTGGGGCTGAATCTTGCTTTTCGGTGGAGTTTTTGATGGTTCTGTTGGGGTTTTTTTGGGGCAGAATTCTATTTTTTTGATGGAGATTGTGGGGTTTTTTTGGGGAGGTGATGCTCTGTAATTAATTTGAGGCACACCCAAAGGTGCTGCTTCTTCTCCTGGCCACTGCTCCAAGACCATTTCAGGTTATTTAGGTAAAAAATAAATTAAAAATCGTATATCCTTGGCCTTGAGGCAATCGGCTCCTCTGGGGCCTGAGCTGCCCCTAATCCAGGGCGATAACCGGGCCGCGGCCGGAGGGGATTGACCCGTTAATCGACGTTAAACGGCTGGGAACGTGCGTCAGAGCGGGCTAAGCCGCCTCTGAAGGGATTCGGGGCAATGCCGGCCCCACAGCGCCTCAGGGCAGGGCCCGAGGGGCCGCGCAGCGTCGTGAGGGCTCGAACCCGCCATGAGGGCTCCGGGCCGGCTGCTGAGGGGGAGGCGGGCCAAAGTGCGCTCGCAGCCAATAGCAACGCGGGATTGGCAGAGTGACATCCGCTCGGCCAATCAGCGTTGGAGAAGGGAGGGCGCGAACCCGCTCCCTGGGAATCGGGGAGGCGGTACAAAGGAAGGTCACAGCGAATAGAAACGCGATATTGCCAGAGTGACAGAAGATGTAGCCAATCAGCCATGGGGAACGGAGAGCGCGAAACCCCCCGGGGAATACAGATTGCGGAAGAAGGAGGCGGTGCAAAGAGCGCTCTCAGCCAGTAAAAATGAGAGCTTGTGAGAGTGACAGACGGAACAGCCAATCAGCGATGGAAAACGGAGACGGCGATTCTCCCCGGAGGGCTCCGGGCCTGGCCGGTGGAAGGCGGGGCGAAACGCGAGGCCAGCCAATAGAAACACGGGATTGCCAGAGTGACATCCTGCTCAGCTAATCAGCGGTGGAACACGGAGAGTGCCCTCCGGCTTCCATCAGCCGCCTTTCGCCCGCGCCTGCGCCGTGAAGCGCGGGGGCCCACGTACAAAACGGAGCGCGGCGGGCACCGGTGCGGGCCCGGTGCTCCCGGTTGGGCCCCCTCCGCCTCTCACCCTCCTCCGGTCCTTTCCGCTTCCCTCCTCACCCCCGGGGCGACGGCGGCAGTAAGCAAAAAGAAACGCGAGGTCCCACCGAGATTTGAACTCGGATCGCTGGATTCAAAGTCCAGAGTGCTAACCATTACACCATGGGACCGCTGGGTGTACCGGGAAGCGCCGCGCGCCCTCCCTATCCCTCCGCCCGCGGGAAATAGTCCCGGGGCTGCGGGAGCCGGGAATTCCGGGAATCCCGGGAATCCCGCCGCATTCCCGCCCTCAAAACCGCCTCAAATCCCGCTACCGGCGCCTTTCCACCCGCCGGGCCAGCCCGCAGCTCCGCCACTGGCACTGCTGTGCCCGGCGCGCTGATTTTCACTTTTATTTTGGATTTTTTTTTTTTTTTTTTGCTTTTTTCTGCCTTTATTCCTCTGGGGTTTTGCCTTATTTCTCCCCTTTTCTTTCTCTGTTTTCCTCTATTTCTCACTTTATTTATTTCCCACTCCGTTTATTCTTCTGGTTTTCCTCTATCTCCCCTTTCTTTCTGTGTTCTCCATTTATTTCTCATTTTCCCATTCTATTTCCCAATTTTATTTTCCTTTATTTCCCTTCCCCCTCTCCGTTTCCCATTATTTATTTAATTTTCTCTCTCTCCTTTAACTTTTCCCCATTGATTTTTCCTCTGCTCTCTGTTTTCCCCTTAATTTCTCTATTTCCCCTCCATTTCCCTCTTTTTATCCATTTTTCTCCTCTAGTTCTTATTTATTTTCCTATTTATCCTCCATTCCCTTTTCCTCCTTCCCCCTTATTTCTTCCCATTTCCCAGTTTTTCCTCTTCCCTTTATTTTTTCCTCCCCATTTCCCCTTTAATTTTCCCATTTTTCCCATTTCTTTTCCTATTTCCCCTCCATTTTCTCCCTTTTCATCCCAAATTTCCCCTTTATTTTTTCTCCCCTCTTAATTTTCCCCTTTTCCCCCAATTTCCCCTTTTTTCCCCTCCCCAATCCCACAAATCCACACAAACACTTTAATTTTTTTTTTCTTCTTTCTCTGTTTTTGCTCTTTTATTTTTCACAGCGAAACAGTGGAAACAAAGCGATTCGTGGCCAAAAAAAAAAATTTAAAAAATAAGGGGAAAACAGGTGAAAACAACTCAAAAAAGAGGCAAAACAACATCCCAAAAAAATCACAATTTGTACCTAAAGAGCCTGAAATCTCCTGGGAAAAGCAGCGCCTTTGGATGCTCCCAAAATTCAGCTCCATCCCCCCTCCCCCCCTGCTGCCATCACCCCCAAAAAAACCCAAAACCATTGGAAAAAATAGAAAAAAACCCAAATTATCGACGTGGATTCCCCCAGCCCTGTGGGAAGGACAGAGGGGTGAGAGGGAAGGAGGAAAAATCCAAGGAAAACCAAAAAAAAAAAGGGAAAATCAAGCATTAAAAATGAAAATAAAAATAAAATAAAAATAAAATCAGTCACAGCCCGAATCTGGGGCTGGTGAGGTCTGGATCTTCCAAGGACTCAAAAATCACTTTCCTCGAGGGAAAGCAATCCCATAAATCCTAATTTTTTTAATCCTATTTTCTTTTAATCCTATTTTTTTTTTAAAGAATGTTTTCTTTGGAAAAAGTGTAAATTTTTATTTTTTCTCCTTTTTTTTTATTTTTAAATTTTAAATTTTTTTTTTAAACTTTTTAAATTTTAATTTTCCTTTTCTCCCTAAAACTACGCCCGGGGAGTCGCCCCTACCTAGAGTCACCTACGGCTAAGAGGTAGATAAAAAATCGGGATTGGTCGTGGATGAGGATTCCGGGATCGTTCCTGGAAGCGTTCCTGGGATCGTTCCAGGATCATTCCCGGGATTATTCCAGGATCATTCCAGGATCGTTCCAGGGATCATTCCAGGGATCATTCCAGGGATCATTCCTGGATCATTCCTGGGTCATTTCCGGTATCGTTCCTGGAATAATTCCAGGGATCATTCCTGGATCATTCCTGGGATTGTTCCTGGATCATTCCAGGATCGTTCCTGGGATAATTCCAGAGATCATTCCAGGGATCATTCCTGGATCATTCCTGGGTCATTTCCGGTATCGTTCCTGGAATAATTCCAGGGATCATTCCTGGATCATTCCTGGATCATTCCTGGGATTGTTCCTGGATCATTTCCAGGATTGTTCCTGGATTATTCCAGGGATCATTCCTGGATTATTCCAGGGATCATTCCAGGATCATTCCAGGGATCATTCCTGGGATTGTTCCTGGATCATTTCCAGGATTGTTCCTGGGAAAATTCCAGGGATCATTCCTGGATCATTCCCGGGATTATTCCAGGATCATTCCTGGATCATTCCTGGAATCGTTCCTGGGATTGTTCCTGGATCATTCCTGGATTGTTCCTGGGATCATTCCAGGGATCATTCCTGGATCGTTTCCGGGATTGTTCCTGGGATAATTCCTGGGATCATTCCTGGATTATTCCAGGGATCCTTCCAGGATCGTTCCTGGGATTGTTCCAGGATCATTCCTGGGATCATTCCTGGGATTATTCCAGGATCATTCCAGGATCATTGCTAGGTCATTCCCAGGATCATGCCCGGCTCCGCGGGCGCTGCGCATCCTGGGATCATTCCTGGGATTATTCCAGGATCATTCCAGGATCATTCCTAGGTCATTCCCGGGATCATTCCTGGATAATTCCCGGGATCATTCCCGGGATCATTCCTGGATCGTTCCCGAGGCC